CACTACGGCAATCATCTTACTTCTCTCTAAACGGAACTACAAGCTTCTTAAAGCTAAGCTAAAATGCATCCTTTAATTCTTGTATCCCCAGACAGTATGGACTGTGATACAGATGTTAAAAATTTGTATGAAATGAGTAAACTGATTTCACTGGATATTATAAAGTTGGGATTTTAGCAAAACTTTTAGATTTGATTTCTACGTAATTTGTTGTGGGAACTTCCTATCTTTCATACTCAGTGTTTTATTTTTTAAATTTTGAAGCAATAACAAACTTACAGAAAAGATGCAAGTGAAGACCTTTCCTCACTGAACCATTTGAGTGTAAGCTGCTGATCTAATGCTCCATTATCTTGGAATACTTTATTTTTATTTATTTATTTTTAAAAAGATTTTATTTATTTATTTGAGAGAGAGAGAGAGAGAGAGAGAGAGAGAAAGCACAAGCAGGGAGAGAGGCAGAGGGAGAAGCAGGCTCTCGGCTGTGCAAGAAGCCCAAAGTGGGACTTGATCCCAGGACTCTGGGATCATGACTTGAACCAAAGGCAGTTGCTTAACCGACTGAGCCTACCCAGGCATCCTCTTGGAATACTATAATATGTATTTTCTACATTCTTTGACCACTTTCTTGTCTTCAAGCACAATGAGAGACTCCAGGGTTAGCTTGTGCTTTGCCTGCCTGGAGTCAAACCTTTCTCTAAGGAGCGCTGGTTCTTATTAGTGAATAATTTTTATTTTATTTTTAAAAGCTTTATTTTTACTTACATAATCTCTATCCAACATGGGTCTCAAACTCATGACCCCAAGATCAGGAGTCCCATGCTCTTCCAATTGAACCAGCCAGCTACCCCCTGAGAATAGTTTTTAGAAGCCAAGCTGAGGGCCATTGGTATTCTCATTGATTGCTGTTAGGGCATCACTGTTTCCAGAACCTGCCAGTGGACAGAGCTAGGGTATTTTTTCAACTATAGTGAAAACCATGAATTTGCTATGACATCTCCAATTCCAAACCAACGGCATGGGTTCGTTCTAAATTTTCTCCCTCTCTGAGTTTGCAAATTCCTTCCTTGACAGTGAGAAAACTGGCTGCAATTATTATCTTTATTTACTTGTTTAATGAATCCTTTTAAGTATAATTAATTTTTTCTTTCTGCTGCCATTTTCTTCTCCCTCACTCCCTCCCTGTCTTGCTTGGACTCTGACACTCTATGATTCTGGGCCCCAAATTCATATGAGGGGGTTTTCCAAACATATCTAAGCAATTTTCAGACACTAGCTGAGTGTCCCACAATTGATTCATCATACCAACTCATCATATCTGGGTGCTGACATTCGTGCTGGGTGCATGCACACACTCTTGTTGTCAAGAAATAAATGCCCACTAAGGAGGCATCTTCTGATTTTCCCTGTTCCCTCTACATCTGGACACCTTTGCCACCCTGCGTGGGCTATAGCTGCCCACACTAAACTTCCCTCCTACTTGGATACCCTCCTTCTCTTGTTCAGGTTCCAGCACCCCACTGTGACTGCCCTCCACACAGCTACTATTTATCTATGCTATGCTCCACTTCATGGCTTTACGACTGGAGGGAGAAGAAGAGAAGGGAAAGGGGAGAGGGATGTGTTGTCTCTTAGATTTGCTTATTAGTCATTCTATAGAGAAATGAATGCATGAGAAAGTTTAAAAGAAGCCCATTTGCTCCTTATTTGCAATAGTAACAAAAGATGTGGACTGGGAAAAATTTGAAGCTATTAGAAAAAAAATAAGACTTGACTTTAAATGCCCTTTCAGTTAAGCATCTGCTTTCCACCCAGGTCATGATCCCAGTGTCCTGGGACCAAGTCCTAAACTGGGCTCCTTGCTAAACAGGGAGTCTGCTTCTCCCTCTGCCTGCCGTTCCCCCTGCTTGTATTCTCACTCTTACTCTCTCTCGGGAAATAAATAAAATCTTTTTTTTTTTTTTTAATGTCCTTTCCATTGGCGAATTGATTTTTTTTTTTTTTTTTTTTTTAAGAGAAGAGAAGAGGGGCTCAGGGAGAGAATCTTTTTCTTTTTTTTTTTCCCCTTAAAAGATTTATTTATTTATTTATTTAAAAGAGAGAGAAAGAGCACAAGTTGGGGGGCAGAGGGAGGTGGAGCAGAGGGAGAGGGATGAGCAGACTCCCCCTGGAGCAGTGAGCCCATGAGGGAGGAGCTCAGTCTCAAAACCTTGAGATTGTAACTTGAGCCCAAATCAAGAGTCAGACACTTACCTGACTAAGCTGCCCAGGTGCCCCTGGGTCAGTGAACTTTTATTTCTCTTCTAGGAGTTTCATGTTTTGTTCTGAAAGATGACTCCTAAATTAGACATTTAGAAATAAGGCTGGGGTGGATAGTTGTTCTTCTATCCCAATTTTCCTGTTTCCTGGATGAAGGAATTGAACTTGTCACCCAGTTTCACAGGTGAATTGTCAGAAAGACAAAGTGTCTTTCAGTATCCTGGCTGGACTTCCTGGCATGCTCCCTTAAATATTATCATTTGAAAATACTTAACCTCTCAGGCAAATTTCTGAGAGAAATTATAGTTATTAACATTACACTTTATATTTTAAACTGGAAGTCCTTTTTTCAGTAATGATATTGCTGAAAGAATGCCATATTTTGAGCCCTAAAATCTTATCTGAGTAGTACTTTCGTGATTATATTTCATTAGAGTGGAAGATCTAGAAATTAGCCTTACCGGTTTGGTAGTTAGTAACTTGTAATTTTCTGAATACTCTCTCTTAATTGCATGCTTAAATTATATTAACTGCATTTGGTAAAGTTGCCGAGCAAGTTGATTATTACTTATTTTACTGTTTTATTGTCTTTTGGGGTTGATGGGCAGGCAAAATGTATATATATAGATGTGAATGACTAATACAAAAATTTTATTTAAAAAAAAATCCACAATACAAAATTTGTATTAATTAAAATCCATTTATATTTGTGGAAAATCCAACATCTTATCAATGCTGCATTTCAAGCTGGGAATAAACAGCTTGCTGGATGTGGATGAACCATCTGAAGCATTCACTAATTTCTAAGAAACACCTTGAGTCACTGAGGTCAAAAGGAAAAATAACGGCGACATTAATTTTCTTCTGGCCCTTGGGTAAGATATTTGCCCTTTATGTACCATTATAATTTCACAAATTATTACTAATAAATATACAGATTTTATAATTGGAAGGGACACACCATCAAGATCATTTTGTTGATCTCCCTCCAAGACAGGAATCCTATCATTCACCTGTGGGGTTGAAACACTCGCAATCTTGGAGAAATCACTACCTCCCAAAGCACTTGTGCTTCATATCCTGCAGAAACTTTCCTCTTGGTGACTTTGCCCTGTTACTAGTCAGAATACAGGTAAACATTGTCCATAGGACAGCCCTTTGGTTATGTCCACCTAGAACCTTATCCCTCTGGAATTTTCTGTCTTGTCTCCATTTTTCACATTTACATTTAAGTTCCCTTCCACATCTCCTTGCCTTTTTCTGCACTTAGGATATCTTAAAATCTGCTGTTTAAAAAATCTGCACTTAGTATCTCTTAAAATCTGCTGTGCACTCTCAGCCGAGTGAAAGGCAAAAACAACATTTTGAATTCTTATTGTCCTTAGCCATGTAGCAGCGAACCAAGATTTACTTTATTTTGGGACAATTACATCCACTAGACACAACCTTTGTCCCCAAACACCGCATTCATTTTGCACAAGCTTGTTGATCTCACACCTAAGTCAGCTTTTCTTGAACCCTCATTTGAACAAACAAACATTCATTCTGATCTGCGGATATCCTGTGCGGCGTCAGGAAGGGCCGACCTGGGCAGTGCAGGCTCAGTTCGCCCGCCACCACGCTGGAGATCTGGTTTCCTTTTTTTCCTCGTAGTTTACCAAGTAACACAAAAAAGCAATTCCTGCTAATCTCTTAGACAATGCATGGGGTGACTCTATTCCAGGAAACTGGTTTCATCAAGGTAACAAAGAGACCACCGAGACCAGAAAGGAGGCTGGGGACACCGACACAAACGTGGCATTCAGGTAACCCCCCCCGGGGTGAGGGTGGAGAGCCCGGTCGGGTGAGGAATGCGCCAACGCCAGCGGCTCTGCGCCTCAGCGCGGATGAGCGCGGGAGTTCAGGCTGGGGGAGTGCGTGTCACCACGTGCCAGAGAGGCGGGGACAGGGCCTGCCTCTTATCTGTAAAGGGCGTTGGGCCGGATCTCGGAGTTTCAGAGCTGACTTGCCAGAGATAGTGTTGAGGGAGAGACAGAGACAGAGAGAGACAGAGAGAAAGAGAAAGACTGAGACTCACGTGGACACACTCAGAGACGCAGAGACAGAGACAGGCGAGGTGAGAGATTAGCAGGCTACGGTTTGCCAAGCCCAGCGAAGAGGTCTGGGAGAGGGAGGGTCCCGCAGAGACGCAAAGTCCAGGACTCCGAAGGGGCTATTTACTGCAGCTCCGCGGGGACTGTCTCACGCCGTCTAAGTTTGCTCTGAGGGAATTTAGCCCCAAGACAGGAAGAAGAGGTGGGGTTCTCTAGTGAGAGCGGTTTTCGTTCTTCCTAAAGAAATTGTTTGGTTTGGGGCTTTCTATCCGGGAGGAGCCTGTGTCACCACGCTATGCAAATCCTGGGACGTTTGCAAACCTGGCTCGGGAGCAGTTGGCCCCCTGCCTGGCTGGGCGTCCGAGGGCTCCCGCAAGGCCCTGCTCCCAGGGCTGGCCGGTGGGTGGCCCGCTGGCCTTTATCTCGTCCCCCCTTTGTCCTCTTTATCTTAGGCTCTCCAGGAGGCCCCGGGGCCCACTCAGCTTATCGCTCCCCACCCCTGCTCCACCTGCACTTCAATGCCCCGCAGGTTGCGGGCTGCTGCTCTTCCGAAGGCGGCGGAGGACCAGGGGCGCCCTCGTCACCGCTGACTCGGACCCGCGTGGAGCACGCCTGATCCGCGCGCCCTCGGGCACCGACGCCGGTGCGCCCAGAGCGTCCCGGTGCGCTTCAGCCCGTTTCAGGTCCTCGAGAGGCAGCCCCGGCCGGGATGGTCCCGGGCCGGGCGGTGGCCGGGCTCCTACTGCTGGCGGCCGCGGGCGTCGGAGGCACGGCGGTGGGGCCCGGGCTCGCCTTTAGCGAGGATGTGCTGAGCGTGTTCGGCGCGAATCGGAGCCTGTCTGCAGCGCAGCTCGCGCGCCTGCTGGAGCAGCTGGGAGCCGCCCCCCAGGAGGGTGTCGCCGAGCCCGTCCCGCTGCACTTCAACCAGGTACGGCGGGGCCCCCCCCGCGGCCCTTCCAGGCTCTCGGTGGCCGTGAACTTTCATTTGTATGAGAACACTATTTGTTTGGGAGAAGTGAGGGAGGCAGAATAGCGTGGCATTTTTCAAGCGTGAGGCGGTGACTCATTGGTGGCACTTGGTTTTCGCCACACTGGGTTTTTCTTCCACCGGGCTTTTATAAAGCTGGTGTTGAGGGAGCTAGAAGTTGCAGTTTTACTCCTAATGAGCTGAGAGGTCCCACGCTTGTGGTTATACAATTTTAGAGAAGAGTTTATGAAGTAGTTGAGGGCTGGAAGCACCTTATGAGGTGCTTTTCTATTGGAACAGCGGACCTAAATCTTCCTTGCAAAGATAGTGGCTCACAACCCGCCCTCATCAACAGTTGCTTGATGGGTAAGAACTGCCAAGGAGACACGATGCAGTTGTCTTTCCTGGGTGGGTTTCACGAGGCTTATAGAGCTGGGGGGTCCATTGTACAGAGATCAGGAAACCAAGGAGGCCCTGACCAAGATCACATACCCAGTTGGTGCCTGGACTAGGCTTAGAGCCTTTGTTTTTAATCATTGATCAGGTCAAGTGTTCGATTCTAATTTTCATTCAAAATTAAAAATATATATTTCAGTATGTATAGACAGTATTAGTTAGACATTCGGTAATGCCTAGAATACAAGGACAGCCATGAGCTACCTGGGATAATTTTAAGGTCATACCTATTAGTAAGTTTCCAAAAAAAAAAAAAAAAAAAAAAAAAGAAGAAGAAGATGCCATTATAGATTCCTAGTCACCTCCATAATAAAATATTCTGTGATTGAGTATTTCTTAAAACTGCAAGGTAGGCAAAGTGTGCTTTTAGCATCCTTTGCAGAACTCCTCACCACTTCTAAAAATTTAGTTCACTCAGTGCTTTGACTTTTTTTTTCCTTCTGCTCCTGTTCCAGTGACAACTGATGATGAATGGCAGTATGCAGTATTTTGCATAGTGTTTGCCACTTCTGGGCGATATGTTAGTTTCTGTTAGAAAAAGTGTTTGTGTTTTCAGATGTTTTGGGAAATACTGCATACTATGTATTCTCCACTCAGGAATTTAGGATCTTGATATCCTTAGATACCTAATCTTAGATGCCAGATAGGGAAACTTTAATCAGGTAAAATCTTTGCTAATAAAACTATAGCTAGGTTGGCATTCTTTTTATTAGAAATATCTTACCTCAATTAAAACATACAATAATTGGGAAGTAGAACTTTCTGATGCCATGGAGGGGGGGAGAATGGGGGAGGGGAGTTAGAGAGCGACATGCCTTTGATCTGGAAGGGTTTTGTGGTCTGATTATATAAGTTCTTTAGTAAACTATGTATAGTTCCCATTCTGGCATGATACTGTCCTTGGTTTAATGTCTGAGAACTTCTATGTTGGAAGACTGAAATGCTCCCATAGTATATAGCTATTTTAGAAAATAAAGCAAACACCTTCCTAAGTACTTTCTGTCTAGTTGCAGTCTCCTTTCAATTAGGGGAAATAGCTGACTAAAGTATTCTAGGAGGAGTAGGGGCGGTCAGTCATATGCTTGCAAAGGAGTGTGGCGATTTCGCTTGTAGCTGCATATCTGAGGTCCACACATTGTTTTCACTTAAATTATCTCCTTATCATGTCTGGAGGGGTAGATGAATTATAAAGTGACAAAAGACCCCTGAACCATCTGTTGGCAAAGACACTGGAAAACATGCCTAAATTTTTTAGGAAAATCAGATAACTTTATTAGCGATATGATCCCTGGTTTATGAGTAAGTTGGATGCCTCAATAAGTAAATTATAGGTATGTTGACACCTTGTTTCTTATTCTCATGTTTGCATATTTAACTGCCTTCATTATGGCATCTGTGGGCATCAAAAAGAGAGAGGAAGAAGCTCATAATTACTTTGGAAACAAAGGCAAGCTGAGGAAAGTTTATCATGCAGTCAGGCCTAACAAACATCAACTAAAAAGTTCTAAAGAAAACAATAGTCATCAGTTAAATGGTGACAAATGAAATGCCATTACAAAGAATCTACTAATTTGCTGGCATTCATATCTGCTGCAGCAAGACACCATACAGTTTGGAACAAAATTTAGAGCTATTAATATCTCTATTTTTTTTTTAAAGACTTATTTATGATTTGAAGAGAGAGAGAGAGAGAAAGCAAAAGCACAGCACACATGAGTGGGAGGGACAGAGGGGAGAGAAAGAATCCCATATGGAGCCAGCAGTGAGCGCAGAGCCCATCAAGGGGCTTGATCTCACCATCTCGAGATAGGATCTGAGCTGAAACCAAGAGTCAGCTGCTTAGCCAACTGAGCCACCTAGCTGGCCCTTAATATCTCTATCTTAAAGAATGCAACTTCAGTTTCCCTGCCTGCCTTAAAGTAGAATAATTAATACATGGGACTATTGTGAGAAGCCTGACTTTCTGACTTTGAATAAGGCTGGGAAAACAGAATTTATTTTGATGAACCAGGGATTTATTGAATTTTCTGAGCGATCTATTTACAAATGACATTGTTCCTTTGGATGAGGGCTGTGATGTTTCTCAGGTCAGCTTTTCTCGAGTAATAGACTAATATGCTGTGGAATTTTGTTAGACAATTTTGGAAGGGGGTTTCTAGTATCTTTTTTCAGTATCCCTACATACTGTTAAATTAAGTTGTCGCTGTAGGAGATGAAAGTGGCCAGAGTTCAAACTGGAAGCAACAAAACAATTGAGTTTTATCTTTCTGCTTCTTGTGGTTACTGAGGGTGCAAATAGCTGATAGAAGAAGTGACCCCAGCAGTGAGAGGACAGAACTCTTTGAGCTAATTGAGTCTTTGGGGCCCCAGGATTGGGTGTAAGTCTGATCTATCTCGGGGGGGGGGTTCTTGCAATAAACAGGGGCACCCCAACTGAATGAACACCCTGGGTGATTGATTTAGGGGACTTAAGAATAGCTTCAGTGTTACCTTTTGTTTGTCTGATGTTCTTCTCTTCTCCAGATATTCTTTTCTCTTCATTTTCTTTTCAGAAAACCCCCTCACCTCCTAGTTCTTAGGTGTAGACACTGGTTAAACAGCTTCATAAAAGAGGAGACTCTTATCCTCCAAATGGTAACACGAAGCTGCAGGAAATGGGTCTATTTAGATAAGGCAGCCCGCCAAGGAGGGTTAGTAGGGGAGCTGGAGACGTGGGGGTGGGTGTAGGAGGCTGGCATGTGAGGCGACCTTTGTTTCACCTATCACCCAACCCTATGCTTTTACTTCTCTCTCTTAACTCTTCTTCTTCTTCTTTTTATTTTTGCTATGTATCTTGCAGCACATCTCCTGCTTTTGTTTTTCCTTTTATGTTGCTACACCCTGTTACCTGGACCTTGTTTTTAAACCTCTTCCAATTCATACTCAATCTTCCTAATACAACACTTGCGGTATGCCTCTCCCCTTTCAAAACTCAGCCAGAAGCTGGCTGTCTCTTTGCTGGTGAGGTTCAAATCCTGAGACTGGCATTCAAGGCACCCATCCCTGCTCTAAGATGCCAACCTACCCCTGCAGACTTAGCACTAAACTATTCGCTCTTCTGTGAATTCATCTGAAACTTCTGCACAGCCCCACTTCCTAGCTCATTATCTTCCTTGTACCTTTCCTGTTTCCAAATAGAAAGTCCTTTTCCTTGAATTACCCTATCAAAATTGTACAGTTTTAAAAGAACAGCTGAATTCCTCCATAAAACCTTTCTGGGACATCACAGCCAGGATCAATTCACCGATTTCTCTCCTTTTTAATTCCTACAGTATTTTTTTTATTATGGGGCTTACACTTAACTATGCATGTGTTCAACAAATACTTTGAATGACTACTATATTCTAATTAAAGTGGTCATTTTTAAAGTAGAAGTCTGATCATATCACTCCTTTTACTAAAGCAATTCAACTCCTTCAAGATAAATGTCAAATTCTTTAATGTAGCTAAAGCCCTTTTAAGATCTGATTCCTGAATATTTCTCAAGCCTTCTCCTTTGCCACTACTGTAGTCTTAATGGACTGCTCATAGTTCCTGGTTCTCCGTGTATATCTGCCGATGTTTCAGCTGTCAGTTTAGATCTTATTTCTTCTGAAAAGCCTTTCTTGATCTGCTCAAGGGTTTAGTAGGAGCCCTTCTCTGTGATTCTATGTTAATTGGTGCCTGTGTAATCAAAATATATTATGTAGCACAATTATAATATTATAAAATGTAAATAATTTCATGTATTACAATTTTCTGTTTATATGGCTCTCCCCAACACCCCGCCCCCCGCCCCAACCCCTGCAACCAACGTAAACACAAATGATTTTAAAAAAATTGAAGGGAATGACCTGACTCATCTTTAGGGGCTGGTATAGTGCCTGGTACATAACACATATTTTCTGCATGTTTGAGTGAATGAGTGAAGATTGTTTAATAAGAGTAATACAGTCTGGATTCTCCCATGGCATTACAGTTTATTGAGGGAGGTATGACATATGCACACATAATTATAATCATGCACAATAGCATGATATGTCTAATGAGATAATTGCAAATGAAAGTGGAATAGGGATCAGTCATGTGTCTCAGAAAATTCACCTGCGTGAGAGTGTGGAATGTGTTGGGTTGGGTCTAGACGGAGCCAGGGAGGAGACTGCTGTTGTTTGCTGATGTCATGATTGTTGGAGCCTGGAGACAGTCAGAAGGTACCATAAAGGCTCTATCTCTTGCAGAAAAGCAGGCAAAACTCCCTTCCCCCAGTAAATATCTTCTGCTTCATTTTTTTGCCTATAGTGTCTTTGACTCTTGTTAAATCTTTTCCTTTATTAGCTTCCAGCCTAATGATGCCAAAGGGAGAGGCAGTGAGATAACTCTTGGCTTTTTATTTTTACTTTTACTTGGGGTGGGGGTAATGGTGGGTTAGATGAGGGAGGCTGAGGGAACTGTTGACATGGACAGAGGAGAGAAAGAACATCTGTTCT